AAACCAGTAATCCTATAAATATATACCGGTAATTTCATATCATCTCAACCACTGATCCCATTAACAACATCTCTGATTTTGATGAATTTTTAGCATACTATTTATATTATTCGGACTATTGTACTCATCTTTGTCGCCATATTTATTACAACATTTCGGCCGTTGTACGCTCCGGCCTTCTTCAGGTGGTTGGAATGTCGAACTGAACCTTTTATTTCGCTCACTGGGGTAGACTGTCCGATAAGCGATAATAACAACAAAAATTGCAATATCTAGTAAAAACATAAAATGATAATAGCAAAAAAAAAAAATGCAATATGAGCTCTGGCAAAAATGGTTGCTGAAGACATTAGGTTTATAATACCCAGAAATTCATATAAGGATGTCCTCAAGGACACATGGCACAGTGGATAAAGGCGTTGATTATATCAGGTGACAGGAACCAAAGTGTGTGTAGTCCAATACCTGGTTAAGGCAGTGGAGAACTTGGAGAGGGAAATTAACAGGAGATAACTGATAACTGACATCCATTAAACATGGCACGTGGAACTAGAACAGTCCAACCACCTGAAGAAGGCCGGAGCGTAAACGGCCGAAATTTTGTAATAAATATGGCAACAAAGATGAGGACAATAGTCCGAATAATGTAAATAATGTACATAATACCTCATCTCAGAAATATAGACAGATACTGAAGGGTGATAAATATGGCTACAAAGATGAGGACAATAGTCCGAATAATGTAAATAGTCTACATAATACCTCATCTCAGAAATATAGACAGATACTGAAGGGTGATAAATATGGCAACAAATATGAGGACAATAGTCCGAATAATGTAAAAAGTGTACATAATATCTCATCTCAGAAATATAGACAGATACTGAAGGGTGATAAATATGGCTACAAAGATGAGGACAATAGTCCGAATAATGTAAATAGTGTACAAAATACCTCATCTCAGAAATATAAACAGATACTGAATTTATAGCATGTTGAAAATCTAAAAACCCTGAAACTTTAGCTTCTTTAAACTCTCACGAAATTTGATTACATTTTTTTTTTTTTTTTTTTTTGCTGATTTCAAAATAACACGACAAATTATGCATTCATTATTTTGTCATCTTTAATGATATTTGGGAAAACTGATAGAAATTTTTTAAAAAAAGTATTTCCAAAAACAAAATGGATCTTACACACAACAATTTATCAAATGAATTAATTATATACAGAAATAAATTCAACCATAATGTTGATCTAAAGAACAACCTACTTATTATGAGAGATAGTTAATGACATAAAAGAAAAATTCTTGAATGTGTCGCTATCGAATCTTATCAAAATATAAATCTGTGTCTTTTTCCAATATTTTCATTTCTGAAAGAATTACTACTTTCCAAAGACAACTATAAAAAGGTTTCAAAATATAAAAGAAAAACGGTTAAATTCATGGCGCCGTGCTATTTAAAATATCTAACATAAATTAATCCCTAACTAAAATAATTTAAATAATAATTTGCATTAAAAAGAATATTTCAAGTACATCACTCCCCAGCTATGGATAAATAGGACAGACCGGGTTCTATAACCTTGCATGGCAACTGGTCTAACGCAAAAAGAAATGGCAACCTACCTATCTGGAAAGATACATGATGGCCTAAACGTGTATCACGCATGGCACATAACTGACTGAAATTCACTTACGTGCTAATACCCTTCGGAAAGGTATGAATCCTCTTTTTCTCCTCCCAGCTATGGGTAAATAGCATAACAGACCGGGTCCTTGGTTGGAAACTGATCTACCGCAGAAAGAAATGGTTACCTAATGCGGGGAAAAATATTTCTTGTCAGTCATGTATCGAAAGATACATGATCGGCTAAGCGTGTATCACGCATGGCACATGGACTGACTGAGATTAAACAGTAGAGCATATATTATAATTATTTTTTTTTAAATCTGATTCTATCGCTGCATAAGAGTTCTCATGTTTCAAAAACAGAAGATAAAAACTTCAATTTCATTTGTAGAAATTAAATTAAAGCAGCTAATTCTGTTTCATCCTCAAGCGAATTTTGGAATAACTAATTTTGAAATTTACGGAGCTTTATAAGCATATGAATTCGTAATATTAGTTTCTATGCATATGGAGAAAGCTAATCATTTTAATAAGAGGCGGTAGGATATTCATTTTCACTGACAACTATTGTATCAACATATTAGTTACTTTAGAAAAGAGGTTAAGTCAAGGTAGAGTCGGGGTGCCTTTTTTCAAACGAATGATGACATTCGTTCATCGCATATCTGGTCTATTTCAACAGAAAAAAAACTTTCAGAAATTTTAGGCACATTTTTTACGCTGTTAAATGTGTATTTGTATACATAAAGATTTTTTTTTCTAAAAGGGTTGTTTGTATATGAATACATCATATTGAACTACAATTTGTTTTTTGTTGACGACTCCCTAAAGGGTATTTTTTTAGCTAAGGATTGGGTTAAGTTTTAAAACCTATTGCTTTAATTGAACTTGTTTATAGACTTTGAAATTTAAAAAAAATTTAAGCTAATTATTTAAGGCGAATGTCTGTTGGTGTCGGCAAAAAAACTTTGGTTTAATAAATTTTCGTTTTCTTAGAAATATATATGTATATATAATGCGACACGCACTAGTAATAATAGACCTGCCTAACGCTTTTACACCGATCCAAATTTTACATTTAAATTTCTTTTTGTCTATCGAGAAATCAAACAGTGGTCAGGTTTTTGCTAACATTACGATTTGCACCAGAAAATATGCCATCTACAAAAAACATCTGTCGATGAGTAATTCTCATTTCTCTGTTTATTCCTCGGTCCGTTGATGAAGAACACAGGCGTGTCCGAACTTAAAACCTTCCCTCGAATTTAAAAATAATTAATTTCTTTATATTGGTACCCTTTCGTTTGTCCTTCATTTATTTTACATATGTCATCCTTGCCAAGGGTTAAATAATTAATATTAAATAAATGTTTATCGTACTGTTTATATTGGTACCCTTTCGTTTGTCCTTGTTTTATTAACTAACCTATCTATTTTACATATGTCATCCTTGCCAAAGACGCTTTCATGAAAGACATCAAATTATAGAATGGTCCCCATCTTCATCCAGGTATTAATGAATGGAACTGGTGGATGGGTAAAAATATATTCATGCAAGACAATGTTCCTTCACATTCTGCAAGTTTGACTCTTGTCCTCCTTAAAGACACCAAATTATAGAATGGTCCCCAACATCAACCAGGTATTAATCCAATAGAAAATGTGTGATCCATCATTAAATGAGACATGTATGAGAATGGAAAACAATATTCAAGGAAAGAAGACTCCTGGGAAGCAATAAAAACTGCTTAAAATAAAAAGTAATGTTGAAATTGAAACAATGGAAAAAATTAACAAAACCAATGGCAGAAAGACTGATGAAAGTTATAAAATGTCAAGGAGTCCATAATAATATGTAGAATTAATAATTTACTCAGTTATATGTGATATTGTGTTAACCAAATATATATATTTCTATGGACTGCATAATTTGGATTTATTTATAAAAAACATTCTTTGCATAATAATATCTTACAAACCCAAAATCAAGTTCTTATCAATATTTTTAATAATGATAGATCTTATGAGGTGAAACTCGCATGATATATTGTTGATATAAATATATCTTAAAAATGTTAACAATTGCATAATAAAATCTGATATAGTTTAGTGACTTGTCAGGCAAAGAGGAGTTAAACAAAGTAGAGAAATGATGAGAAAGCAATTTTCACTTGCATACCAGATAAAGTGGAAAACATGTTAGAGAGGAATATTTATTCCAAATCAAGTTCGAATCTTATTCGTTTTTTTCTGGTTAGACTTTGTACATTGCTTCTAACATATTTAGACTAAAATCCTCAGAATGGAAACCTTAACAATTCTATCAAAAAACCATTTGTTGATCAACTTGTATGCAAGTGAACTTCCTTCACATTCTGCAAATCTGACTTTTGTTCTCCTTATTAAAAACTCTTTCATGAAATACACCAAATTATAGAATGGTTTCCAACTTCATTCAGGTATTAATCCAATAAAAAACTAGTGATCCATCATTAAATGGAAAAATTAACAAAATCAATGGTAGAAAGACTGATGAAAGTTATAGAATGTCAAGGAGTCCATAACAATATGTAGAATAATAATTTACTCAGATATATGGGATACTGACATATGTTTCTATGGCCTGCATGTTTTAGATTTATTTATGAATAAAAATTTATTCTACACTTAGCGACTGATACCTCCAAAACAAATTATCAATATTTTTCATGAGGATAAATTTTATAAACTTAAACACACATTATATATTGCTTATATAATTATATTAGTAAATTTTAGAAATTTTATCCCATTTTAGGTTGGTTAATACTAAAATGATTTGCTTAATGAAAATTCGCATAGAGTAAGCATTTCTTTTTTAAAATCTTTTTTTTCCTCATTTCCAACGTTTCTTTCTTTCTTTCTTTCTTTCCTTCTTTCTTTCTTCCTTTCCTTCTTTTCTTCTTTCTTTCTTTCTTTCTTTCCTTCTTTCTTTCTTCCTTTCCTTCTTTTCTTCTTTCTTTCTTTCTTTCTTCTCATCGTCCTCAAAATTCTATGTCACTTGTTCTCTCTTCTATTTTTCTTATTTTTCTATTGTCTTCTTCCGTTTAGTTCTCTTATTTTTCTTTCTCTTCTTGCTTTACCTTCTCCTCTGTTTTTCTTCCTACGCTCTCTTTTTAACCTCTTACTTTTCCCTCTCCTCTTCACTCTCATTATATCCCTTTATTCCCTCTCTTTCTCACTCTCTCTATTCCTCCTTCCTGTCCAACTCTGACATTTTTATTCCCTTCCTCTTAAACTACTTTTGTTTACAATAAGTAACGAATGATAAAAGCAAGACTTGCCTATTGTCCACATTCAGCAATCTTGTACACTTGTGGAAGGTTAGAATAAGGCAAGTTTCTCCAACGAATGAACAGAAGAAAAAAAAAATCTCCCTTCCAACCATCTACTCCAAAACGAAAAAAAAAAAAAAAAGAAGAAAATGTTCACTTTGTTTACTTGCCTCGTTTTGTTTTGTTTTTTTGGGTTTTTTTTTGTTTTTGTTTTTGTTTTTTTGTTGGGAGAGGAGTTTTTAATGAATTTTGTTTGGATGGGCAAAAAGGAGACAAAAATCAAGTTTCAAAATTTCCTTTTGGATTTGTTTCTGTCGAGAAGGAAAGCGCTATTTTTTAAATCAGTCAATTCTGAGATCAAAGGATCATTCTTCCTTTATTTTTTTTCTTTTTTTTTTTTTATTTTAAAAAATTTTCGTTAATTTTCTCTTTCTATTTACTTTTCTTGTTATTTACTATTTGAATTTGTTTGATGCACTATTTCTAAATTATTTCGGTTTCATTTTTTTACACACACACACACACACACATATATATATATAAGATATATATATATATATATTCTTTTTTTGGATGGAACATCATTCTGCTGGGTAAAACATTGCTATCAATGATTCAAATAAACGGCCAAATCAAAGCGTGGCCATTTTGAAAAGACTGATGAAAAATTTAACAAGAAATAAATGTTTTTTTTAAAAAGAGAATGATAGCCAAATGGAAAACAAAAGAAAGAAAGAATGAAAATGTTTTTATA